ATCAAATCACAGCTTTAAAGGCCTTCTATCTTTTGATAACATGAAATGAGAAATAACTCGTTCTAGTCCATATACAATGATCAACCGAACTATGCGTACATGAAATTTAAAATAAGAGCGACAACTTTAAAACTATCCTCTCCATACTATATCATAATCCTTTGGACTCATGAGGAGTGAGAAATGGAAGCCATAAAATATCATGGTGAATTATTTGGTCATCTAATTATTCTAAACACATTACATCAGATTACGAAAGTGGTTAGTTTATTTACTAATTAAGTATATTTTTGTAATGGCAACTGAAGTTAGCAATAAGCTGACACAAACGGTGTATTGATACTTGATATATGTTGGCGACTAATAGCTGCAAAACAGAAAACGAAATCTGATATGTTAAAAACTAAAAGGAATAATTTTGTAGTTCTTTCTTCAATTTTCATCGTCATCTAAGGAAAAGAAAAGCTCATATCTCAACCAAAAAAGATGGCTGCCTGGCATAATAGAAAAGGACGTACAAGAAAAAAGATAAGACTAAAAAGAGATTGCACCAGCCGGGAATCGAACCCGGGTCTGTACCGTGGCAGGGTACTATTCTACCACTAGACCACTGGTGCTGTATATCATAGATGTTTTTAAATATATTAAATATTATATCATTGTAAGCCAAATATAAGTACGTTGAAGATCTGAGGAAGATTGTCTTGATACTTCAAAATTCTCAACTACATGAAATGCTCAAAACATATTCATATTCGTCCCGGAAAGACGTGTTGATAACTCGGGAAAACAGTTTGAGCTTTTCATACATAGTCATGGAAGCAATTTGGGTAGAACGTCAAGAAAAGAATATCTGAGTAGGCATTATTTTTCCTTTGCTTTATGAAATAAGGTCGGTACAAATATTGACGTATGCATTCATCTTCCTCTGATGATCTTTTTATGAAATAAGCTCAGTAAATATATTAAAAATGGCCAAAATTTACTTTTCCACTTTTCTTGCAAGGTAATAAATAAATAAATAAATAAAAATAAAACAAGTGTAAACATAATCGAAAAATCTAATGCTAAACAATTGACTAAGACATATCAAAAGAATTTCCCATGAAAATACATTTCTATAAAAAGAACATCCTCATTTAACACACACAATCAGCATTAACTCACAAAGGCTTAAGCACATATTCTCATTCCATAATGCTAAATATCAAAAGGGCAAAAATCTCGTCGACCCATTTACAGATCACCCCTAATGCCCTCACTATCAATGAGATGAAACGAGAATCGAGATCTTAGCCTCTTAAACACGACACTCATCCAAACGGCTTTTGTGAAGCTGAAATGCGGGATTAATCCACCTCCCACAACTGCACTGCAAGCCCACCCAACTGAACGTGCCCAATCGAGTCTTGCAACCGAAACATTGAAGCTTGTCTCCCAAGTAACCTTCCTCCACTGCCAATACAACACACCATTAAAAAAAAAGCTTGAGGTTCAAACTAATTTCAGATAAGGGTGAAATTTAATTATAATAAGAAGAAGGTAATACAAAACAATTCTTGATTTGTTTTTGAAAGGAATACACTTTAAACGGATAGTGAAAGGAATTTTGGGGGTGTCAAATACAAAGTTTTACGTGTTTGCATCCATTTCATGGGCTCCACGAAAATAGACGAGCAATCAGTCGGTGCTTCCATTTCAGGGTCGTTTTTCCATTTCCCTCTGAAACACTTTTGTCCTTCACCACGGTTATGGGGAATGATATACTCTTCTGTGGCAACAATTCTTCGGCATTTCTTGCAACGGTAAATGACCGAAGGCTTCGGAACCGATCCTGAGTCCACGTTATCTGGAATCCCTTCCATTGGTGTTGCCATTTGAATGTTTGCAAAAATCTACAAAACAGTATAAAAAAAAAAAAAAAATACCATGAAACAAAATTTGAATTTTTCGTACACTAGATAGGGTTTGCTTTTTCTTAATTAATCCTATGATCTCAAAACAGACAAGCAGGAAAACTTCTACACAGACAAACAGCCACAAACCCCAATGTTTTGGGGGTACAACAACAAATATTGGCAGAAAGGTATAATCAAAATATAATATCTGAGTTAACATAGAAGCACTCCAAAGCTTCTAAGCTTGGCCTCTAATTCTTCAATCCTAACAAGAAAAGTTCGTTATTCTCAATTCAGCACAACCTTTAAAGAAACAAAGTGCCCAACAAGGATTAGATTATGTAATTAAACCGCGTACAAGAATTTGACTGAGGATCTCATCGGAAAGTTAATACTCACACACCAATACGAACAACGACAACAACAATAAAAAATCCGAATTTAGGGTTTTGAATATAGTCAATTCTCACCACATTAGATTTTCTAAAATAAAGGTAGCCAAAGCTATTAAAGTTGTGCATATAATACTTAACTACACCGGAGAGATGAAGTTGAATATGCTTACCGGAATAGTTTGAAGAGTTTTTTTTTTCTTTTTTCGGCAGGATCGATTGATTTTTCCTCACGGTCGGCACAAAAGTCTCTTACAACTGGTAAAACAAACGACGTTGCTTAGTTCTAACTATTTAGAGGATTGGGCTGAGAAATGGTTATACACATAGTAATGGGCCGGCTAATGAACCAGTAACAGTGGGCTGGGCTACTAGAACATAATTTTATGTAAAAACTTGAGAAAATTACATATCGTTTATCATCTCCTGGATAGCCAATGCGATGTACAAGATTAATAATAACAAATTATAAATTAAATTAGTAAAAAAATATTAATTAGTATAAAAATACATTTAAATATTAATATTTATTTTATCACTTCGTTTATTTATTATTATGATATGTAATAGTTTAATTATATATTTATATGTGAATTTTATTCGTTATAAAATAATTGTCGTTTAAATAGTTCCTATTTAGAATTAATAAATATAAAAAATTAACATATTAAAACATTATCAATAAAAATACTCTCACAAATACTTCTCTCTCTTCTCTAACTCACTCGTCATCAAAATTTATAATAATATATTTTGAAAATCATATTAAGACATTATCAATAATAACACTCATAAAAATACTTCTCTGTCTTCCCTTACTCATACGTCATCACAAATTATAATAATATATATAATTTTTTTTAAATATTTTTTTCTAAACTTATAATTTACATGGCTTTTCGACATATTACTCGCTTGTTTATCATAATTTGTAACAATACACATAGTAAATATTTTAACGTTGTAGTAATACACATAGTAAAAAACACTTTCGAGTTTTTAAGCTATTAATATAATTGACGTTGGAAAAAAAANTAAAATTTGAGGTATCAAAACAAAAAAAAACATGTAAATTTTGGTACAGAGAAAGAATTGTAAAGGAAATTATATTATCAAGCCAAGCACATGGCGCAAGTAATAACCCATTAAACTATATATACATTAACCTAAGTTCATATTAATTAATTGTTTTTGCCATCTATTTTGACATAACTTCATAGTAATTAATTGTTTAGTTGTGGAATCTATAGGTATGAGAATTTGTGCCCATCTGCATCATCAATTAGACTATGTTAGGCTGGAAAAATCAACGTCAAGAATTTTGAACTCCGTATACAAGATCACAGTATCAGCCTTGTTTACTATACTACGATCTTGTGTACATGTATATACAAATAAAATTTTATATGTTATATATAGTTTTGCTATGAAGCCATAATACTAATTTAATTTTATTAATATAGTAGGTTTACTTGTTGTATATAGAAGGTTAGCTTCACTATGAAGCCGGCCAACTGTTGGCTTCATAGCAAAACCGATGTTATATATATGTGTGTTTTTATGTTATTTATATGTGTGTTAATATAATATTTATAATCATAAGTTCGATAAGGAGCATACCACATTTTATAAATTTCACCACTACTAAAAATGAACGATAATATAAACTATTTAACTTACATAGGAATCTTTAAATTGATGCAATCTTGGCTAACTAATTATGACCAATTAATTGGAAAAAATAATATTCAAATTATTATAGCAATTGTGTATGAAATTTTAAAGGGTTAATGAGATTAAAAATACTTAACTAGTTATAATAAAAAAAACATACTTAATGATTTGAAAAAAATAATAATTTAAATAAATAGTTAAAAAAAAGCTTTAGAATAGAACAACATTTAATGTGACTTTATTATTAGTTAATAGTAGTAATTATATAATAAAATAAATAAAAATTATAATTGCTTGATTAATGCAAAAGTGACGAAAAAGGCAAAAAAAGAAAAAGAATTTTATTAAATTCTTAGCTAGCAATTATATACATCTTGTTTGTTTTTTAATGTCAATATTGCATGATTGTCTTATACTAGCTCTTCTAGCTCCGTATATTTGGTTTTCAAGCCTTCAACACCTTGGTGCCGTTACTTAGACTCCGTTTAGGCCGTCTGTAAGTAAACTTTACCATTTTTGCATTGGCAACCTTGTAGCTATAGTTTTTATGTCAATGTTGCATGATTTTCTAATATTAACTCTTCTAGCATCGCATTTTTGGCTCTCAAGCCTTCAACACCTACGTACCCTTCACCTAGACTGCGTTAGGGACTTATTTTACACATAAACGTCACTATTTTTGTATAGGCGAGATTCCTAGACGTTCGACCAATTGGGCCTCGTCTAGGATCTGGCCCGCAGACGAAAATTAGTTGAGAGGAGGCAAAAGACATGACATAATTTGTAAAATACAACAAAAATGCATAAAAAAAGTTACCTTATAATTACAATTGTTGGCTTTGTGAGTGCGTTTAAAAACAAAAAATCTGGAGGTGCAAAAAATAATTTAAAAGGGGGGAAATTAAAATTTTTAATTATAATAGTAAATTTAAGAAGGGGGGGAATTGCCCCCTATTGATACATGTAAATTTGAAAGTTTTATTAGCTTATAATTAAATTTGAAATCCTCCTCCCCTATATATAGGAGCACGAGAGAAGGACAAATAGTTGAGTTCACCCATCCAGTATACAACAATATGGCTTCTTATTCAGTGGCTCTGACATTCTTAAGCATCATCACACCTGTTATTTCTGATCAAATACCCCTTCCTCAAAGTGTTGACTGGCGCAACCAAGGCGCAGTGACTCCTGTTCGTAACCAAGGGTCACCCTGTGGTACGTACCATCTATGCATGCATATTCATTTATATTCAAATTTATCAATAAATTCACTAATTTGTTGTTTTGTTTTCATCACTTGAGGGAGCTGCTGGGCGTTCTCGGCCGTGGCGGCCGTGGAGGGGATCGTTCAAATCCGGACCGGCATTTTGGTCCCGCTGTCCGTGGAGCAGCTCGTCGACTGTGATGACGAGGGGGACAGCTGTAGTGGGGGCAACGTGTGGACCGCGTTCGACTATATCATCGGTGCCGGAGGCCTAGCCACCGACTCCAGCTACCCGTACGATGGCTCCGGGAAAACGTGCCAGCCTTACGAGCCTGCCGTGACAATCTCAGGCTACGAGAAGGTCCCTCCCAACAACGAGACGGCCCTGATGGCGGCCGTTGCACGTCAGCCGGTGTCGGCCAGCATCGACGCCAACTGCACCGAGTTTGTGGATTACACGAGCGGCGTGCTCGCGGTAGATTGCGGGAACGTCCTGGACCACGACATCACGATCGTGGGTTACGGCACGGATGCTGATGGGACTAATTATTGGCTCGTGAAGAACTCGTGGGGCCAGGATTGGGGCGAGCAGGGGTACGTGAGGATGCTCAGAGACGTTGGTGCAGAGGAGGGGCTATCGGGTATTGCAAGGGAAGCGTATTACCCCACGTTCAACAACTGATATGATGAATAAGCGAGCTTGTATATGTGTATATGTATTAAAATCTATGTAGTTCCATGAAATAATTTGAATGAGAATCGACGTACTTGGTATGTTAGTATTTGAAAATGTCTTTTTAAGGTTCATAGTATTACTCTGTCTACGGGAGCTATTTCTTTTTTATATATATATATATATATATATATATATATATATATATATATATATATATATATATATATATATATATATATATATATATATATATATATATATATATATATATATATATATATATATATATATATATATATATATATATATATATATATATATATATATATATATATATATATATATATATATATATATATATATATATATATATATATATATATATATATATATATATATATATATATATATATATATATATATATATATATATATATATATATATATATATATATATATATATATATATATATATATATATATATATATATATATATATATATATATATATATATATATATATATATATATATATATATATATATATATATATATATATATATATATATATATATATATATATATATATATATATATATATATATAGGGAGTGGTTCAAATAAAAACTAGTCCTGGTGTGAGAACCGTGAGAACCGTATTTGATGCTAGTTTTTATTGTGTATGATGCTATTTTTAATATCACATGGTGCTATAATTTTCACAAATATTATTATAAATTGTGTTGCTATTTTTAAGAAAATAAATCAATGTTAAAAATAGCATTAAAACACAATAAATCATAGCACTACTTGCAACTATAAATAGCGATTCTCACGGTTCTCACGCTAGAACTTGGTTCTCATTTGAACCACATCCTATATATATATATATAGTAGCAAAAAAATAAATCAGAATTTAATACAGCCTATAAATAGTAAGTTTTATTATTTTTCTTATTTTTTTCTTTAAAAATCATACATCATTAAAGGTTACCTTAAATTTCGGGCTTTAATTCATTTTATTATTTAAAAAATCCAGTTAAGATTTATTAAATGCGTATGTTTTTATTTTTTCTTAAAACCAACGAACAACATTAAAATGTCGGTCTCTATATTTATAAAATCTCAATTCAAATAAAATCTCGGTCTTTATATTTTTGCCTTTAAAAGAAAATATTGAAAGCTAAAAATATTCTTTAAATTGCATAATCAATCAATTAATCTTAATTTTTTGAAAATTACTATATTTATTCTTTATTAATATGCATAAAGTAAAAATAATTAATTCATCTTTAGATATATAATTTATAATCTTAATATACTATCATTTGGTGTAGACATTTATTATATGAATTATAGAATATTTTTATTTCATAAAATTAAATATATTTAAAGAAAATAAGAAAATTTCTTCAGATCAATCGGTTGATTGAATTAGGGTACTGCCCAGGCTGATTGATTTACTTTTAGATGATAATTAAAATATCAAAAAACTTGACACAACTTGGTTGGTCCCGCTGACTAAGTTATATATCAGTTCGACCACACCAAATCGGTTATTAACCTAAATATAATTTTTATATTGAAAATATTTTATTACGTGAATGTGATGTAATCCAAACTTCAAATAATCGTATTAAAAATACTTTTATGACAACATGATATATCATTTTATTAATATTTATGTGAATTAAATAATATTTTATTATAATATTTATTAATGTACAGTAAATATAAGGTTTTTAGAGCTAGATCGTCATCAAAACGTTTAAGATATTTTATTAAATCATTTGTGGTTTATTCAGATTTTAATTTATAAACATTTTAATATATATATATATATATACACATATAGTACTTTTTGTAATAAGTTTAAATAATTTATAAATTCAAATGTTTAAACTAATTGATAAATAATCTGTAAATCTCTATTTTATTTAAATATGTAATTTTATTTAAAATAATTTTAAATATAACAAAATTTAATTAGAAAATCGTATCGATCCTACCAGTCCAATCGACTGGTGTTGATGGATTTGAGAGCAAATATTTTATTCAAGCGAAGTAGACTGGTTATAAACCGGTTCTCGGTCCATCTAGTCGGACTGTGTCCAACCGGGTTTAAAAACAATGGATAAATCATGATTAATGTTATTTATTTAATTTATTATACAATCGTAATATTATTATTCCGTGCATCGCACGGGCCACACGCTAGTTTTTTTTAAACTAATTATTTATATATTTAAGGTTCACAGGATCCCAAGAATGATTTCTAATGGGCAATTACCATCGTGCTTCAATTTGGCAATCTCCAATAACCGTTCATTCCAAAATGTTTTTCTTCTTCCCATTATGTTTTATTTGAAATTTAGTCCTCATTCAATATTATTCCATGATTTTTATTAATTTAATGTGATCCAACTAGGATCTAGAAATTTTGTTGAGTGTGGGCTTAAAAACTAAGAGATTGTAAAATGGTCTAACAAAGAAAACATAATTTTCGTTTTTTATAATTGATTTATTAAAAAAAAAGATTATGATTTTTAAATTCATAAATATAGTATCGAGTGCTTATACTCAAAATCTTTTACAAACTAAAATTATTGTCGAATCTTTTTTAAGTGTGTTATAGCATGAACCTTAGAATATATATTATAGATATAATAATAAATTAGAATAATAATGTTGTTACTATATTTATAAAAGGGATTAGATCGGATTGGTTGGAGTTGAAATCAATCAATTGATTATTTTGGTTTGAACTTGTAAAAAAGGGTCAAAATTGGCCAATTGGATGGATCATATTTTTTTCTTTTTAAAAAAATAAGTTTTCATATTTAAATATATTTTTCAAATAAATAAACATTGAATATCTATAAATTATTATATTGCTTAGTTTAGACATATGTTTAAAGTTATCTAAATGTTTAACTAAGAGTAATTTCATGTAAAAAAATTGACTATTTGATGTAATATATACTTATAATTATTAATGTATTAAGTGTCAGTTCAAGTATTGAGCAATCATGAACCTGTAGGTTGATAAAGTTTGTGTTGTTAATTCATAAACAAATGAATATATAATAAAAATAAATATAATTTATGAAGTGAATAAATATAATTCGCGACAAAGCCGAGCCTCTTAATCCAGCGAAGCCTTCCTTGGCGGCGGCGCGGCTTCGGCTGGTGGTCGCCTTTGACCGCCGGCCCCTCAGCTGAACCCTGATGTTGCCGTAGTGCTCCGATGCTAGCAGGGATGTCGTGCCCTAGGTCAACGGCGATTTCGCGGTGAGATGGGGCGAGCCTCTCGGTCGGCGATTGGGCTGCAATTGGTGGCGTTGATGGTCAGCTGGTCTCGATTGGAGGTAAGTTTTTCTCTCCTGCTGCGTTTGGTCGTGATTTTTGGGGCTCCCCTCGGGCGGTGCGTTTTTCTGGTGGGGCTCCTTTTGGGGCTTTTCTGGTGGGGCTCCGTTTTGGGGCTTCTCGGCTTGGTTTCGGTGGATTGCGGTGATGTTGACTGGATATGGGTCAGCAAGGGGGGTGGGACTCTGGCGTTGGGCGGGAGGTGGTCTCGCCGGCGTCAGGGTTGAGGGGCCACGACACCATCACCATCCTCCGTTCGGCTAGTGGTGTTAGGCGGCGGGGGTCCGGTCCATTTGAGTGCAACTAGTGGTGTTAGATGTGCTCAGGGGGATTGTGTGTGAGGGTTGGCTTGGCTGTGGTTTCCTTTCGGTTAACGGCGGGTCGATTCGGGGATTCTTCTGGGATTTGGGTTCACCTACTGCTAGGCGTTTGTGCAGTTTCAATAGCGGGACTTGGACTCGGGATCTTTCTTGTGTCGATCGATCACTACTGGTTGGGGCGGTATCAACTAGCTGAGGAAGGGCCAGTTTTTATTTGTCTCCTGCTTCGTTTTTGTTTTCGTGTTTGTTTTGTTGGTTTGTTGGTTTGTTGTTTGTGTTTGTTTTTCTTTTTGTTGTTGTGTGCTAGAATTGCTCCAGTGGGCTCGAGTGTAACTTAATTCTCCTGTTGGGAGCGCACTCGAGTATTCTCCTGTTGGGAGGTTTCTCTATTTTTATTAGTCGTTTTGTGGGTATTCTCCTGTTGGGAGGGTTCTCTATTTTTATTAGTCGTTTTGTAGTAGTATTTGTTAGTGTTTTGTTGTGGCTGGTTTTCTCGCGTTGCGAGCAGTATTCCTGTCTAGGTTGCATTGGTGATATTGTAACCTCTCAGTTACCCAGGATTCGGGCTTTGCTCTTGTACATTGCTAGTTGGCGTTTTTAATGAGAATTTTATGTCGTTTGAAAAAAAAAAAGTGAATAAAAAAATAAAACCAAACGCACCTAGATGGATGAAAACAATTAAAAGAGATATCATCACCTTTTATTTATATTCATTTTCCTTGAATATGTTTATTTGCTAGAGTTTTGCTTGCTTATGACTAATGCCTAAAAAATATCTAATTTTACATCCAATGTAAAATTTCCACCCAAAATTTGAGTGAGGGCCTAGGCCTAGGGCTGGTAATTTTGTACCGAAAATCGAAAATCGAACTGAATCGAACTGAACCAAACCGCTTGTAACGGTAACCGAAAATCGGTTACCGAAATGTTATCGGTTTGGTATCGGTTCCAAAACCTTAGAGCATGCTTGGATACAAAATTTCTCAAAAAATTCAAACATTTTTAACTCAACCACTTTTTTTTAACTCAACTTTAACTCAACCCCACTTTTATCAATATTATCAATATAACTAAATAATATCAATCAATCATTCTTACACACCACCTTACCTTAATTCACTATTCATCCACTCACATAATTTTAACTAATCATCACTTCAAATCTTCTCTCTCCTACTTTACATCAAATCAACTTTAATCATTTTATTTTAAATATTATTCTAATATACTCACTAACAACTAACCATACCAACTTTTCAAAATTAACCAAACCAAACAAAAAAATCCAAACAAAACCGAACCGAACCGATAAGGATAAAAAATAAAAAAATAAAAAACTTAGTAGACTTATAGATATAGTTACAAGGTAATGTTTAGATAACAGTACTTTAATCTAGTATTTAATATTTTATTAAAGTATTCGTTAATATTGATTACATCAGGCTCAATTTTTTTTAATTTAATTCATTTATTTATTTTTTTAAATTATGTGAATTATAAACGGTATTCGCTCATTAACCAAAAAAAAACCAAATTGCCCTCACTCATCACTCCAACAAGAAGAAAGAAAAGTATAGCATGTGAACAATGAACATGTTGATAACATGTGAATATGGAAGTGAACATGTTGAGACTTTTTTCTTGCTGCTGGGAAGTGACCATTGGGAACATATTGGGAGCCTTGGAAATGGGAATTATTTTGTTGATTTTTTTTTTATTTTTTTATTTTTTCGTTTCAAAATCGAAACTGAACCGACTTTTCGGTAACCGAAAATTCATCATGAATGTTGGAACTTAATCAAGTTGCATTATTATTGGTAAATTTCATTTTTTCGATAAAAAACCATTACCGAATCGAGCTTAATCAAATTGCATATTTATTGATAAAGTTCAGTTTTTTCGGTAAAAAACCGTTACCGAACCGAGTTTTCGGTAATCGAATATTCAGTTACCGATAACAATCGGTATGGTAACGGTTTCATATTTTGTTGTTACCGAAGTAATCGATACGGTATCAATTTGCTTTTATCGGTTCGGTAACCGAACCGCTACCAATCCTACCTGGGCCCCCACTAGACTCAATATAGAACCGTCCTAGGATCCAAATTCTGGTTGCATATCATTAAAATAGTTTTGTACATATGTATTTTACGATTTATTTGTTGGAAATTTATATGTTGTTATTAGAGGTTGCTTTATTCGTGCTAGAATCCTTGGTTACAAGTTCTCTTTATTTTTTCTTAAAAATATGATTATAATAGCATGGTGATAACAACTTGAATTATTTGTTTTTGTTGGAAAAATTGCATTAACTGCGTGATTAATAATAACCTTTAGTGATTGGAAAACTTGCATCCATAGTTATTTTTCTATTTTTTTTCTTAAAAATACGATTATAATAGCATGGTGATAACAACTTGAATTATTTGTTTTTATTGGAAAAATTGCATTAACTGCGTGATTAATAATAACCTTTAGTGATTGGAAAACTTGCATCCGTAGTTATTTTTCTATATTTTTTTTTTCTTAAAAATACGATTATAATAGCATGGCGATAACAACTTGAATTATTTGTTTTTATTGGAAAAGTTACATTAACTGCGTGATTAATAATAATTTTTATGGCATGATTGGTGATAAAATAAAGTTATAGCATAGAACCAAACTAGTTCAAACGACTTATATAATTTCTCGAGTTCATCAACCAGGATGCTATGCATGTTTCCGTTAAATACTTAGCATTGAACTCCAACAATAAATAAGTAGAGTTACAACCAATTAAATTAGCGTTGAACTCCAACATTAAATTATCCTTTCCTAACAGCTTTTTTTAATACATATTGCTATGTATATATACTAACTATACCCCAAAAAAAAAAAAAAAAATTTAAAAAAAAAGGAAATTATAATTCACTTAACCTTTTGACAAAACAATAAGCATGGCCCCTTCCGTACTTATTTTCCTCTCAATGCTTATGGTTATGGCTCCTTATCATGCAACTTCTCGAAGCGGAAAACATGGCGGCTGGATGCCATTCGATAACTTAAACGATCCTGAGGCAGTCAAGTATGCGAAATTTGCACTGGCCGAGTACAACAAAGAAACCGCTGCATCTTTGACTTTTGTAGCTTTAGTCAAAGTTGACACTCAATTAGTTGCCGGACGAAGATACCGTCTGGATATCTCCGCCAAGGACGGTGATGCCGACAGTCCAAAGAAGTATCGTGCGGTGGTTTTGTCCCAACGGTGGTTGCACATTGTGCAACTCACTTCCTTTGAAGAAATTGATGATCAAGACTATAGGCCAGCATATTCTCCCCAAATTTAAATTGTTAAGAGTTTCCTTTCGTTTTTTCTGTTTATGTTGGATTGGAGTAATAAGTTTGTTCAATAAAATATGGGTTATCCGCTTTTGCTAATTTCAAGTAATTTTTTCGATGTATTTTCTCGCATATTATCTTGTCTATAATGTTTTTCAAACTTTTTTTCTTTTTCATATATCGGTGAAATATAATATGGCGTTAGTTAACAAATTATCAGATATATCTCCCAACTCACAATACATGTATTTCCAGCTAAAACACATATATAATGCATATCAATGAATTATAGATTGAAGATCGAGATAGACAATGGAGATCGAAGAAAACAAAGAAAAATGAAGAGGAAATTTTATTCAGTCGGGAAGAAAAGTGAACAGTACAAATCGTGTGTTTCAACTAGGGTTTTGTGACTATTTAAGTATAGTATTTACAACAAATTTTGTATATATAATTGCTGGCAAGATTCAATAAATTTTATTCAGCCAGGACTTAATAATAATATGAGTTCATTTGATAAAAATAAGTGTTCTTTTAATAAAAATATGTTCACCATTTAATAAAAATATGTAACTTTCAGTTACACAATTTATTTTGACAGGTCTCATTTTGGATGTTGCCCATTTCTATAACGCCTTTTTATGTCATGAAATACCAAATATTTTTGTTTTTATTTTGATACTATATATTTGTTGGTATTATATAAATACATATTTCACAACTAATTAAAAACAATTACAAATATCTCTATTTTTTATTGCAGTCATACATTAAGAAATAAATATTTTTTCGAATATTACAAATATACATCAAATATTTTTAAAAATCAAATCCCAACGTCACGAGTCGAAAGGGTTTAATGATAATGATTTGTTGTGATGAAGATTCTGACGATGGAAAAAGTCACGAATATTGTATATAAAGAAGTGCTTAATAATATTTAGATTCACTTTTTTAAATTATTTTTTTCTCATTTATTAAGTTACAATTTTTATTTTTATCTATATTTTTTTTATTTTTTATTTTTAACTCCGCCTATGTTGTCTCAACATAGCAGGTCCCAAGCCCTGGTAAAGGAGGAGGGTTGTGATAGGCTTGGCGAGCCAACGTAAAACCTAGCCATTCTATGGAGATGAAACACATGAGAAATTCGTTGGGGCGTAACCCTCTTAGCGACGCGCCATATCGGAACCCGGGTATGGTGTCAAATGGGCAAGGGCCGGGTCGTCTCCCCCTTGGGGACGCGCCATGTCGTGGTTTGGGCATGGTGTTAAGTGAGGAAGGACCGGATCGTCATTTCCTTAGTGGCGCGCTACATCGGCGCCCGGGTGTAGTGGAAAATGAGCAAGGGTCTTCGCATCTCTCTCGACGGGTGCGAAGGGCAAGGAAGCTAGTCGAACCAACTAGGGTTTGTATAGGTACCTGGAGCGTAGGGTCCCTAACGGGTAAACTACGTGAGCTAGCCGATGCTGCTACTATGAGGTGTGTAAATATCCTATGCGTCCAGGAGACAAAATGGAAGGGACAGAAGGCGAAGGAGGTGGAGGATACTGGCTTCAAGCTTTGGTTCACTGGGGCTTCATCGAGTAGGAATGGTGTAGGCATCTTGATCGATAGGAGCCTTAAGGATGGAGTTGTCGATGTTAGAAGGCAAGGCGATCGGATTATCCTAGTTCGATTGGTAGTTGGAGATTTGACCATGAATGTGATCAGTGCCTATGCCCCTCAGGTAGGTCTTAGTGAGAGCGCAAAGAGGCAATTCTGGGAGGACCTAGATGCCTTGGTTAGTACGGTACCTGCCAGCGAGAAGCTCTTTGTAGGAGGGGACCTAAACGGCCATGTGGGTGCGACTAAGGTAGGTTTCGAGAGAGTGCATGGAGGGTTTGGGTATGGTAGTAGGGACGAAGAAGGGGAGGGTGTGTTGGACTTTGCGATGGCCTACGACTTGTTGATAGCGAACACCCTCTTTAGGAAGAGGGAATCTCACCTGGTAACCTTCCATAGTGGACGACACTCAAGTCAGATCGACTTTATCCTTGCAAGGAGGGAGGATAGAAGCGCTTGCGTAGATTGCAAGGTGATACCTAGGGAGTGTGTTGTCCTCCAGCATAAGCTGGTGGTGGCGGATTTTCGATTCCGAACACGTGTTCACCGGGACAAATGTGCCAAGACTGTGAGAACGAAATGGTGGAAGCTTAAAGGGGAAGCGGCGCAGACGTTTAGGGATAGGATGTTAGGTGAGGGGCCTTGGGAAGAAGGAGAAGATGCAGATGACATGTGGCTAAAGATGGCAATATGTGTACGGAAGGTGGCTGCAGAAGTACTTGGTGTGAGTAGGGGAGGCAAGTAGGAAGAGAAGGACACTTGGTGGTGGAACGACGAGGTGCAAAGGGCTATTCAGGAGAAGAAGGAGTGTTTCAAGCGCCTCCACCTTGACAAGAGTGCAACCAACATGGAGAGTTATAAAATAGCGAGAAGGGTTGCAAAGCGTGCCGTGAGTATAGCGAAGGGTCAGGCCTATGATGACCTCTATCAGCGCCTAGGCACGAAGGAGGGAGAGAAGTACATCTATAGGATGGCTAAGATTCGGGGGAGGAAGACAAGGGACATCAACCAAATCAAATGCATTAAGGATGAGTCGGATCGGCCACTAGTGAAGGATGGGGAGATCAAGGACAGATGACGAGAGTACTTCGACAAATTGTTTAATGGGAAGAGTGAGGGTCCTACCCTGGAGTTGGATGACTCATTTGAGGATACCAATAGACGCGTGGTGAGGAGAATTCGAGAGGCAGAGATCGGAAAGGCTATGAAGAGGATGAAGGGAGGTAAAGCAATTGGCCCTGATGGTATCCCGATTGAGGTGTGTAGATGCTTGGGCGCCAGAGCGTTAGTATGGCTAACTAAACTTTTTAACCTCATTTTCCGGTCAAACAAGATGCCTGATGAATGGAGGAGAAGTACTTTAGTACCGATCTTCAAGAACAAGGGAGATGTTCAAAGCTGTGGTAACTACCGTGGGATTAAGTTGATGAGTCATACGATGAAGCTCTGGGAGAGGGTTATCGAGCATCGCCTACGACGAGTGACGAGTGTAACCCAAAACCAATTTGGGTTTATGCCTGGAAGGTCGACCATGGAGGCGATTTTCCTAATACGACAGTTGACGGAGAGATATAGGGACCAAAAGAAGGACTTGCACATGGTCTTTATCAACCTTGAGAAGGCTTATGACAGAGTACCGAGAAATGTCATGTGGTGGGCCTTAGAAAAGCACAAAGTCCCATCTAAGTACATTACCCTCATCAAGGATATGTACAAGGATGCGATGATGTGTGTCCGAACATGTGGGGGCGACAACAGTGACTTCCCAATTAAAATAGGACTACATCAGGGGTCAACATTGAGCCCTTATTTATTTGCTTTAGTGATGGACGAGGCCACAAGGGACATACAAGGTGATATCCCTTGGTGTATGCTCTTTGCTGATGATGTGGTGCTAGTTGACGAGAATAGGGAAGGGGTAAATTGGAAGTTGGAGCTGTGGAAGGACGCGTTAGAGTCGAAAGGCTTCAGACTTAGTAGGACGAAGACCGAGTACATGACGTGCGCTTTCAGCATGGCTTCACATGATGATGGTGACGTTACCCTTGACGGGCAAGTGGTGGCCAAGAAGGAGACTTTTCGGTATTTGGGATCGATGCTACAAAAGGATAGCGGCATTGATGCAGATGTTAGGCATAGAATTGCAGTCGGTTGGTTGAAATGGCGTCAGGCGTCGGGCGTTCTTTGTGATAAGAGGGTGCCACAAAGGCTAAAAGGTAAGTTCTATAGGACGGCGATTCACCCGGCGATGCTATACGGTGCTGAATGTTGGCCTACAAAAAGGCAACATGTCCAACAACTAAGTGTAGCAGAGATGCGTATGTTGCGTTGGTTCTGCAGGCACACAAGAAGGGATAGAATCCGGAATGAGGATATTCGAGATAGGGTCGGGTGGCTCCAATTGAGGAGAAATTGGTTCAACATCGGCTGAGGTGGTTCGGACATGTCCAATGGAGGCCTCTTGATGCACCGGTGCGTAGGGGAGTTCTACAGCGGGTCGAGAATGTTAAGAGAGGTAGAGGTCGGCCTAAACTCACTTGGGAAGACTCGGTTAAGAGAGACCTTAAAGACTGGAATATCCCCAAGGATTTAGCGGTGGATAGGAGCGCTTGGAGGTTAGCTATCAACGTGCCAGAACTGTGACTTTTGCTCCTTTCTCTTTTTTTTTTTTTTTTTTTTGTGGTTCGTTGTGTTTCTCTTGGGTTTCATCTCTAGTCTATCCCAACTTGCTTGAGACTAAAGGCTATGTTGTTGTTGTTGTTGTATATTTTTATTATTTTTTTTATATTATATCGCTTCTGGTGCAAATGTTATTTGTAAGATACCGACCATAGAAAAATACTCAATTCAAACTATTGGTTTGTAAGATACCAACCACATTCTTCACCATTAACAAATTCACTGCGGAGAAAGTATATTTATTATTTTATTACTGTATTAATTAGTGAGCACACAGCATAAGCAAGCCAAAAAGAAAAACAACAGTAATGATAAAAGAAAAAAAGAAAAATAACCTAATTTAGGGAAATGTCGTGTATCCTTGATGGTCAAATATTTCTACAAAGGAATTGATTCTCGTAACGTGATGTTTTGTGGGAAGCTTAATAAATTCATCCGACACATCCGCACCAAAAATTCTACCGTTGTTGACGGACAGAATCAACCTGTAGCTGGTGGTCATGTCTTTGATATATTCCTTGTGTTGCTCACCCTTTATTACACCGACCAAACTCAAAGTTGTATTTGCGTCTTCATTGTGCTGTGTTAATGCACGTTTTGCAACACCGACCAACACCGGATCTTTCAAGTTGTTGACCGGCCGCCAGCCGCCAGTCATGGAGGTGGCTTCATTAGGACCCAAAAGTACCAACATTGTCGAGAGGAATATCAACATGAATCGGGTCATATTCTATGTGTGTCTATAAAATTTTCGTGCAATTAATTATACAGTTTTTAATATTGCTATATAGTGTGAGTAACGTATGTGTACATTAGTAACCACAAACTGTTGCAGTTATGTTTATTTAATGGTGAATTTCATGAGTTTTATTTAGTCATCAATGCCCATTTAAGTTCAACGAATTATAAATATCTCCATCAATATTCCATATATGAGGCAAAAAAACTACCTACCCACAAGGCGTTACTCATAGTTAAAGCCCAACAAATGCACAAGCCATTTTCTAGATTTCAAAAGCTAATAAAAGAAAGCTGAATCATATTCCGTAGTTGAACATTTGAGAGAAATCCATTGCGAGGAACAGAAAGGGCCTCAACTCAAAGGTTCAATTTGTAAGAGATGAATGACAATCTTCATAATATTCCAATTCCTACCAAGTCTATCATAGTATATTAGGGAATATTATGTACGCTATTTACCACCTCTAAAATAAGTACACGAAAAATGTGCAATTGCAGGAATATACCACAGTTCACCTTCCATTTGTGTAGAAGAATCAATTGAACCAGAATTTAGTAATCCTGCTATGATCACATTTCGAACGATAGACAAATGCAGATTCAGTTGATTTCGAAACTATTATCGAAATTGACCTAATTCTCCTTTCACTCTTTAATTT